CCAAGTTAATACATTGTACCAAAATTAGTATATTTATTAATTATTGAGCAAATTTGTATTTAATTTGAGTCTTTTAATCAAAATTTTTAAAACTACAAATATTTGAATGGGCTACACATCTTCCAAAGTCAAAAATGGTAAGCTTAAGTGATCTAATTTCTTCTGGTTACTTTTTAAGCAAATCTACCTCTTGAGGGTAAGAACATAATCACTGTACCTTCCAGTGTGAACCAGTGTGACATTGAGGTACCCAGCATGCCAAGCATAGCAACTGAGTTAGTTACCAAGAACTTGAACATGGTTGATTTGTGCTTTCTTCCCGAGATAAGCACTAAGCACTGTGTGGTGCTTTATTTCTCAATCATTTTGGATTTTAACAATGTCGCCTACGTTGGTCCCACATCAAAATATGCCTACAGTCTGCCCTTTCTATCTGCCAGTATGCAGCCCATCAGCAAAAAAGCTCGGCAATAAACTGATTGTTGTGATTATATGTCGTAGTGAAACGATCATGTGCTTGGAATCGGCATAGCACAGATTTATAATAAGGCATGCTCTGTCATTCAGAATCGTGGGGGCATGGAATTCGATCCGAAAATTGTTCTACCCGGCTTGCCTTATCTGATGAAGTATGAATCGTAACGTGTTAGCTACCCATACCTTAAGCAGCCATGGCGTGCTGAGTTTAAACGTAGACAAATTGTTGAAGTGTACATTGGTCGTCATCTTACATTGAACAAACACGCAACACAACACTGACTAGCTGTAACAGTCTTGTCTAGATCAGAACCAAAACAAGGTAGTCAAAATAGTAAAACACATGTGACATTGTTGATATTGAGAAAATAGAATTATTATATAATATTGTGGAATCAAACATTCAAACTATGCCAATTTCAAGTAAATGAACAAATACAGATATACGCTATGCTATCCAACTGTTTTAGACCTACACAATATTTTTACCACTAAAAAGTTTATGCAACAGCCTATAGAATTATTAGTTATGATTCTTATGTTAATTTTCACCTCTATTTCTATAATCAACTACCAAAAATGTATCGTCAAGTGTGTGTGTATATATATATATTTTTATATATATGGTATATATATGTATATGTTTATAGTATATGTATGTATATATACATATATATGTATTGTATTGAAAGATTCATATTTACATATGATACTTAATAATACGGTAGTCTGATTGCCAATAATAACTATTGTAATATTTGACAATGCTTTATTGGATAACATTTAATAAATAAATAAAATGTCTTCCATTTGTATTGAGAGGTTTTTTTGTATACAATATGGGTTGAGCTCTGACGATAATGAAAAACTAGGTCCCCACACAAGTATGAGCTTGTGAGAAGCCGGTCATTACTGAGTCTGGTGCTTCAGTGTCTCTGAACCCTCTCTGATTCAGCCAGAGGAAACAAACAAAAATAAGCAACGGTTCTAGCGAAAGTTAGAAATATAATTGTTGCAATAAACTTCTAAGCGGTAAAAAAATCACGTAGGCCTAAAACAGGTGGCTAGCATCCTTGTAAACAAGCAGTTTTTATAGAAACTGTTGCTATTGTCTTTTAGGTTAATTCTGCCCTAGGCACCCCAGTTTTGATTTCACTTGGGACAGAGAGGCAGTCATGTCCACGTTCTCCTGGAAGCTTGTTCTTGACAAGCAAACATGTTTGGATTGTCTTAGCCTAGCATGATGTATATTATAAATTTAGAAGAAGATGTAAACTTCTGGATGATGGAGACTTGTGTCTGGATATTTCCCGCCACTGGGAATACTTATATGTCGGACTCTTTTTTTGATTTTGTACAAAATAAGAATATGAATAATTGATAAAAAAATATGTGGGAAAATTTGGTGTTATAAATAAGTTTTATTTTTTGGTGATGATGATATCGTGTTATATGTATCACTGCCATGTAAGGTTTACTGATTGACAGTTTCATTGGCCCCCACCCCCTTCAACTCATCTATTGGATCAATGTATTACCATAGAGAAAATAGAACACAATTTTCTCTATGGTATTACTATTAAAGTTAATATGGGAAGTGTTTTTGAAATATATAATGGTTTACAGAAGGCTATTTATTTTGGTATATAAAGGTTTTTGTTTATTTTAATGTGATTCAAAGTTTGATCACTAATACATAATTTATCTTTTCTTATATAACACTTGCCTGTTTCTCTTTTATCTCTGTTTTTATTTCACAATCTGTAGTAAAGCTAAAAAGAAATGTAAATAATAATAAAACTTTTGTCTATCTAAAAATAAACCTTTTTGAGAAATGTAATATGATTTGATTTTTATTATTTTGTATTTTAGTAGATTACTAGTATTTTATAGCACAAATTCATATAGTGTTCCATAATATAATTTGATATTATAGAAAGTATCATTTTCCATTAATTGTGTTCCCTTCTTCAACAATAATTTTGTCACTCATAACCATATTTTCTCAAGACATTCCCGAAATTCTGCAGAAGATAATTAGATGACCCTTTGGTCACTTTTTGTATTAATTTTTACAATACAAATTGAGTGACCTTGAGGAGTGGAAGCAACTTATCGAACTTGAAGACCTCATGGTAAGAGTGACAAAAATGATTTGCAAGACAATGCAATGTGTAGTGAACGTAAATTGAAAATGACAGAGCATAATTATTATGAAAAAGATAGTTTTAACAAAAATTGTTGTTCATTTTGAACTGTTATAAAAACTAAATTAAAAGACTAATAACATTTTTAATCAACCTATTAAATATAAATAAAAGTATATAAAATTGATTGAAAACCTATTATAATATAAATAAAAGTATATAAAATTAATTAAATACCTTTCATAATATAAATAAAAGTATATAAAATTGATTGAAAATATTATAGTATGAATAAAAGTATATAAAATTGATGAAAAAATTATAATATAAATAAAAGTATATAAAATTGATTAAAAACCTATTATAATATAAATAAAAGTGTATAAAATTGATTAAAAACCTCTTATAATATGAATAAAGATATATAACATTTGAAATAAATATAAATTCTTATTAGGTACAATTAAATAGACTCTATTAAATACTTTAAAAAAATAATTCCATGGTTTACATGAAATTGATACATTTTGTTATATAAAATTTAATATAGTAGCTACTGTATATTTTATTTATATTTTGCATGTAGGTCCTATTTATTATTGCTATTTCAAAATTTGCTCTACCATTCATAATGCAGTACCAATTTTTTTCTTCTAAAAATGTCATATATTATAATGATTGTAATTTTTAAATTATTAATAATATAGTATTATATAATTGTTTATTTTAATGTTTGAAGTACATAATCATTGGTCAGTTATTCATATTAATTTAGCTTTGCACAAAAAATGTCTATTGTATAATTAATATGCTATACAATTTAAAGTATTACTGTATAGCATTTGTAGTGTAAATATAATTTTTCAATATTAGAGTATAGTTATTACATAACATATTGTCGTTACTGAATAGATTGTTGTGACATGCTGCTGATTAAATGATAATGGTCACTGACGATGGGTCAGAATGAAATTAGGCCAATGCGAAGGCATGTCCAGTTGGTATGCAGGGAGTAATGAGTTGAGAGAGAGGTTAATGGCAGTTGAGAGTATCAGTAATGGGATGCTATGACGTCATCACTATTAGACTTACTCAGGTGGTTGATTGATGGGTTGCTTCTTCCCTGAAAATTTCTTGGAAGCGTAGAATCAACTGATAAAATTCTAACACTCAGCATTAGGCCTATATATTAAGCTTTATTGCAGTCATTCTTTATAATCTGATTCAAGTTATATCATACACAGTATAATGTGTCTCTATAATTTCTTTAAAGCCAGGCCAGATACTGATTTTTCTATGAAACAAAAAGGGAATGGTTAATGAGATACAGATTTTTGAATATTTAAAAACTGGGGGAAATTTGTCTAGCCATTGATTTCAATTAATTCAGTTTCTGTTATTGCTACAAGTACCATCTTTTGGGTGTATATCCACACAAACAAAGTGAATCACAAAAATTACAATACAATGGTAACTATGCATTAAGAGGTAGGACACCACTCAACTATGGTCGAATAACCCACCCTAATCAAACTATGCTTTGTGGGGTAGGGGAGTTATTCCACTAAGGTCGTAACGTCCCACATACCCCAACCCTAAATGAACTATCTATCCCGGGGTAGGAACGTTACTCCACGAAGATCGTAGTGACCCACATACCCCAACTCTAATTAAACTATGCATCACAAGGTAGGGATGTTCTCCGACCAAAGGTAGAATTCAGCATTATAATTTTAATTAATGTTCGTAAAGAGTAGGCCTAGAGTATGCCCTTTGGTCTTAGTTTTATTGACAGAAAAGTAATTGAATTTTAAAGAATTTTATTTCTTAATTAAAATAGTCTTCATTGTAAACATAATAACTAGGTAGGTGATTTTGTTACGTAGTTGTGTAAGTTGATTTTGATCAAATATAAAAGGCACTTTTGTTTTTGGTGCTCCGGTGACAGTCAAGGTAATGAGCTGGCGTCTATTCCTTCAACTATACACCATTCATGAAAATGTATTTAATTTCATTTTCTAATTGCTCTCCCATGTTGGATGACTGATTCCTCTGGGTGATTTTCTTGAGATTTGTTTAAGATATGTATTAGGTGCTCAACTGGCAAAAGTCTTGTCTTGTTAATTTGCCGCTCTCAAAGAGCTTTGTTTCGTCTGAGGGTGGCCGACCTTTGCCCTGCTTGTCCGCATTCTCTTGATTTTGTGGAGTCCGACAGGAAATTGTTTTTTTCTGTCGCCTATTAGGGGGTTGGTCGCCAATTCATGTTGGTGACCGCATTTTTGTCATTTCTGATGTTAAACATGAAATATAATAGTGTTGTTGAAACGAATTCAATTGTATAAGTGGGCCTAGTATTGACAGCTAGAAATTGAGCAAATGAAATTTTGAATCTGATAGCTACAAACTAAAGTTAGGCAGTTTATGGAATTTGTAATAGTATATATATAGGCCTATTTCATCGCGGTTAATATCTCTATGATTTACTATTGGATTTCCCCTTAGGCATAAAGTCCTACTTTACTCAAACCAAGTTTTTTTGCATCTTAAATTGATTCTAGATTGTCTTTGTGATAATGATATTTAGTATATTTTTAATTCTTTTTTGTATTACACACTGATTTTTAAAATTATGTTAAATCATTTTTTTGTACAGTAAAACGTTCGTTTTATGAATGTTGATTTTACAAGTAGTCGAATTTAGGAATGATATTTACCCTTGGTGATGTCATCAACCAAGTAATAACGTCAAAAAAGTCAGATTGTGTACGTTTTTCAAAGTGATAATGTATATTTTTTATCAGGTTTGTTTTTATTTATTAATAATAGTACAATATTTTTCCATTTCTTCTATAATAATCGCTATTATAAGTCAATCTTGATGTCATCACTGCAACTCCCAATATTATTTGCCTATTACCCACAGTACAATAATTTTTTTCACATAGTGTACGCTTGGCTTGATTTTTTTAAGTTCATGTGCAAAAGACCAATTCAACTTTTGTACATGTCACGCACTGCAAAGAATTCTAGGCTAGGCTTGTTTGTTGACAAGAGGTAATTGGAAAATTACTTTCGTAAAACAAAGTTAATTAGAACCCGAAGAAAGTAACTTAAAATTCAGTATTATGTATGGAACTTGATGGCAAAGGATAGCTAGGTGCTGGACAGGTTACATTTTGGTAAATTCCTGCTCATTGACGTGGGCGTATCCCCATGCTGTGGTTTGGGTACTGGCTTGGAATTTCTTTTTTTAAAAAATTTTACAGTTACATCTACTCACTTGTTCTGCACATAGAGACTCTCGTATTTTGCGCAATATAAATGAATAACCTCTAACCTTTAACCTTTAACATCGTTGAAAATGACACTGACACCAAGGGGTACATAATATGTACGTTTTATTGTATTTAAAAATTCAACCAGCCTTATTTTTTATTTCCATTAGAATATGGAGAATATTAATTATGATATCATGATTGAAATTGATTTTGGTGATGATAACTCGTTGATAGCGTATCAGAACACCTCAGAACCTTTGCAGTTGACACACATGTACAGTGTACCAGGCATCTATGAAATCAAGGCAAACGTCACATCTCACATCAAATCAACAAACATCTACTCGATTCTGTCAATCCAGGAACGAATCACTAATATATCTCTGCAAGGCCCAAGTATCAGTAGATTTATAAGGTAAGAATTTGGGCAAGATTTATCAAACTGGAAATCAGCTTAAATTCGTCTAAGTCCATTTTTTGCTTAAGTCAGATTTATCAATATTGCTTAGCTTAAAATTGCAAAATTAAAAAGTTGATTGTATGCTAAGACGATTTTTAAGCTAAGATTTTGCTAAGATGGTTTGATAAATCAGCTTAAGATATGAAATACGAAATATGAAGTACTTTATTGCCATATCTCATTAACATTATAAGTAAAATCAAAATTGAAGTTTAACAAGTGGGGAAAAACATTTAAAAAACATCACATACAAGATACATACAAATATTTAAAAAAAATAGAATTAAATTAATAATTGTCGATTTAATTAAGGAAAATTTAGTTATGATTTCCTCAAGATATTTGCTTAGGGACTTCTGAACTTTTTTGACTTAAGACATTTGCTAAGCTGAGATTGGTAAAATCCCGGGCCAGTCGGGCATAATTCTACATGCTTATTTTGAAGAGGTAGGGCTAAGCTGGTATTAGTTGTGACAATATCAAAATCTTAATTTTTATATAAAATGTTTTTGGGTTTTTTTTTTTTTTTTATATCTTTCAAATTCATCTTCATTTGCAGTACCATGCATAACTTGAAAACTGTATATTCACTCAATGGTTATAATACTTGTCTCCCTCCAATCAAAGACCACTTTTGTAACTGGGGTTTCCATGGTATTTAGCAGCTTTGGTCTTTATTAGAATAATAAAGATAAAAGATATTTGTTAATATGGGACCACAGAAAAGTGGTCTTTAATTGGATGTGGTCTGTTATTGGAAAGATCTTTAATTAGAGGCAGACATGTATATTATTAAACAAGAGTGGTATTATTATTATATTACTTTGTTATTTTGCCCTTGATCAATATTGATTTTAGAGTTTTTATATCCCTCTATTTTGTTGATATTTTGCTTTTGATTTAGTTCAATTCAGTAAAAGTACCCCTTGATTTATTGATATCTGGAAGCTTGCAACAACCCTCTGCTGGTACCCAGGAGTCTAGAACTTGACAGCTTTAAACTGTGTGATTCATGAAGATGTGCCTATAATCTAAAACCTACCAATTTTGTTGTTCAGAACTTGCCCAAGTGTAACCCATAGGATTTGGTTCAGTGACTGAAGTTCATATGATATGTATGAGAAATTTCAACAATTTCACACATCTGTAATTTTGTGTTTAGCTCTTCTAATGTTCTTAATATCATTTCAGACTTTTCTATGGTTTTAATGTATATGATGGGGAAATAAGTTTACCATTATGTGTACTTATATAATGGACATAACTCTCTCCTCTTTTCTCCCTCTCTTCTACTACTTCTGCCAACACCTTTCCAATAATGTCTTCTTATTATATCTTTAAAATATCTTTTATAATACTTTTTATTATTAGACCGGAGTCTAGGCAAATTTGGAATGTTGCCAAGACGTCTGGTACAGCTGTCCTGTACACCTGGGAAACAGACCACCTGACTGCATCACCTGGATTTGAGATTCAACCCGATGTCCAAATTTTGACCAATGTTCTCCAGAAAGAATGTGTACATTTTAAAGCAGCCGGACTCTACAACATATCTGTTAACGCCAGTAACCAACTATCCTGGCAAGTGGTACACATTCAAACGCAGCTACAGCAGCCTATCATAACTGCATCTGTGTCCATGGCAACTGTTCTGCATGGGGAAAACTCTACAATTGAAATAGTAGTACAGGGCGAGGGACCGTTTACTTTGAATGTTAACTATGGTGATGGTGAAACTGCTGTGTATTCTACGCAAAACATGAAGGAATTAGAGTTTGTGGATTCAGATGCTTATGTGGTCTACCGATACACCCTCATTAAGAGATATATGCACGATGGTGAATACACCTGTTCTGTTGTAATAAGTAATGCAGTGTCATCTCGTTTAGAGACTGCTAGAGGAGTGGTGGAGGAGAAAATCTCGGGTGTTCAGATATTATCAGATTCATCGTCAGTCTTGCAGATCGAGGACGAGGTCACGCTGATAGCTACGGTCGAGAAAGGTAGCAACATTTTATATATATGGGATTTTAATGATTCCCATGCTCAGCCAAATGTTGAAAAGTAAGTATCCAATGTTTTCCAAATTGATAAAAAGAAATTTGGGTTGTTTGACAATAACTAATGATCTTTAATTTATAATAGCAATTATGATTTTTTTTTTATTGTTTATATGTGCTAATTTCAGCTATATCATATAATAAAAATGTATGATAAAGATAATGGAGAAGAATAATTTTAATGATATTAGTTGGTATTGGTTTTTTGTCTTTATGATATTGATGCAGTTGGAAATGGCAATAGTAAAATACATCTGAAAAATAATTTCATTGCTTGTTTTTCCCCTCTTCCACCAGCCTGGGTAATGCGAGTATAGCAACACATATATTTAGCTCACCGGGCTTCTACCTTCCAAGTGTTAGCGTCAGTAACTCGCTTCAGACCGAACCAATCACTGTCACATATTCCAAGGTGTTTCATGTCCTTAATCCCATTGGTGACATCTCAGTCTTTCCCCACGATGATGTGTATACCACGTCTCTCCATGTTATTGATAATATTACCATGGAATCAGATCCCGTAAGAATCCGTGCGGAATGCTCCGGTACCGGAGTCACTTTTGAGTTCGACTTTGGAGATGGGAGTCCGTTGGTAAGAAAGGAAGTACCAGATGATGGCAGTTTTCCTACATCAATTGTTGCAATGCACAAATATCACAGAGGTGAGCATTTATTTTATTTGTTTGACCCATGCTTATTTAATCAGGGTGAACCATCCCGTAAACAGTGGTTAGCATTTTATCTATGGAGCATAAATATTAATATTATTTACAATATATGGATATCTGTTGCAGTAACAAATTCAAAGGGTGGGGCCCCATGAAAAAAATTTTGGAAAAAAAAAGAAAATATTGATCATAAAATCTGAGAGTTGCCATTTCCGGCCATCTAGAGCAGGCCTGGAAAAAATATTTTTGAGCCTCCAACCATGAAAATTATCTTGATCAAATGCCTCCAGAAACAAATGTTATCTTTATACCATTATAGCTGAACAGTTGTACATTTAGTGGTATGGAGCAAGCATAACTGCTGGTCACGCCATCGCAAATTTTTTCCAGCCCTGATTTAGAGGTGCCATAGTCTTAAATTTTCTTACGTTGGTCTAGACTCTGCATCTGTGGAGGTCCCTCCTTTAGCCCATGTATTTCGAATTCCTGGATCCACCACTGTGTTGATTATGACACGACTTAAGCAATAGAGGTACGACTAAGGCAAAAGGAGTGCTGAGCTGCTGTTTTTGTGAAATACACTCCAGATCTGACTTATTGATATACATAGTTAAAATACAATAACAAACATACATTTTTTAATTCTTAACTGAATTCGAACTATTTTACTTAATGGATAAAAAAAACCTCATTTTTGTGTGTATATGTCACATGTTTATCTTACATTCTTCAGACATTCTACATACACAAGTGATTTTATAATTTATTGTTGATATACTATGCATTCTCTTTCAGAGGGAAGTTACATAATCTCTGTAAAGGCGTTTAACAAAATCAGTAATGGTACTGCAATGATGTCCCGGCCGTTGGTTGTGCAGATTCCACCCCTTAGTCTGCAGTGTGAACAAAGCCAGTATTTCACAAACTTTGGAGATTACACCAATATAGCACTATTGGTGTCAGGAGAAAGCAATCTGCAATTTAATTGGGCGATGGGAGATCAAACAGACTACATTGATCGTAGGATTTTTGTTTAAAAAAATTTAAAAGAAAATGTATTTACAATAGAGTACAACAGTCGTGTCATCACAACACCTGGTGGCACCCTTTGTTTTCAACCAGACGTTGGTTATCGTTCATTACGCCTGAATGACTTCATAATCCTAATGGTTTAGAATAGGCTTTCTCGAATAGGCATTTTAAAAACTAATAATTTACCATCAAAATGTACTAAAACCACAAAAGCTTGCATCATATTAGTTGTCAAACACACATTTAATCATCAATTAAAATTTACAAAGAAAAACTGAAATATAACATCTTAATAATTATGTTAGAAATTGGGATCAATGGTTCGTCTGTGGAGAATAGCCGATAGCAACTTAGTAGTATCACATGGTATTGTGACGTAACACTGTAGTACTCTAAATGATGACATATGCACTACTTTTAGTCTTTTTATATGTTTATTTGGCCATGCTAAAACCAGCATCATTGTCCCAAAACAAGAAAATTGACTATTTGGTATATTCATATCGCTACATTATAAGCTTTCAAATGACGGTTATTTACTGGAATCGACTTGCTATTTCCAAAGTTACGAGTAAATAAAGTATCAAAGCTTCTCTGTACTAAGTGTACCATACTGCCGTATTCTTAAGCTAATTACTCAGTTTAGCATTTAGCAACATTATGCAGGTTTTGCGATGGCAAGCCTCATTTTGGTGCTTTATCTTATTGTATCCTGTTGAGAGGGTACATTATGTTGTATGAATGATTCTCAAGTAAGTGCTGCAGTGCATTTTCATAAGCAGTACACAGTAAAAAAAAAAACCTATGTTTGGTGCATGGCATGTTTAAGAGCATTGATTATTCAAGAGAGAGACATTTAACACATCATTCAGAGTATTCTGGTTTATTCAGTATCATAAAACGTGCAGATTAGGTGTAATTTTTTCTTATTTTTATACCGTGAATAAATAAATAAATAAATAAATATAGATATAAAATCTAAAAAAATAATCCAAAATACATTATTTGTGTAATTAAATAAACATTTGTGAGGTCTCACTACGAAATGAGACGCATTGTTGGTGAAATCATATTGAGAAATTCACCAAAACAGGCCAAAGTCAACATTTTTACAAAATATTGATTTTAATGTTGTGAATAACTTGATACTATATTTTTCGATTGTACACTTTGTAAGTGAATTTTCTTGCCAAAACAGTGTTCTCTGCACATATTCTGTAATTCTGGTCATATTATTTGTACAGGTTAGTTTATCTTTGAGGCTGATTTTCTCAAAACGTGGTTCTTCTGCACCTAAACTTGAAATGCTCACATCTCTGGATTTACTTATAGTAGAGAAGCCATTCAAAGACCACATGAAAGCTTATAATGAGATCTATCCAAATATAATATAAACTCAATTTTTGAATTTCTAACCATGAGACTCATTTTGTGGTGAGACCTCACATTTGTTATGAAGTTATGAATTAAAATATTCAACTATTATATAAAAAGAATTAAAATCAATTAATTATACAGATTTATAGATATATTAGAAGGAAACTGGAAAATATGGAATAAAACTCTTTGATTTAATTGTATATTATTTTTGTGGTATCATTTCAGAAATGTCTGTTTCTCATCAGTATTTACAAACAGGAAATTTTACTGTGACAGTTGTAGCCAGGAATGATGTTCAATCTGTCACTGCTCAGTGTGAAGTTTCTGTTCAACCATACATCCAAGGTGAGACTAAGCACCCAGAGGAGGGTAACAAGAGGGTTTAGGTGGGATGGGCTTCAGACACACGAACAGCTTTTGTTTATATGCTACAGCAATATTGAACAAGTTAGTTGCGACATTCTCGGTCTATGAATTACACATCCATTGCCATTTTCAAGAAACATTAACCTTTGCAGATGTAATGTAGTTCTCGTTGTTTTTTTTCTTATAATATTATTTTTCCAATTACCAGGCAGACATTATATTTAAGCAGGCCACTGTCTTGATTGCCATTTTGGGGCACCAGTTAGTCTGTGGCAGGACAAATATGTATCCAGTTGCTTTGTTCGAGCCATCTAGGGAGAGGTCCAGGAATGCTCCAGAATAGTGGTGGATGGTGCCCCCCCCCCAAAAATGTTTCCACTGATTTAACTTTTCCCATTTTTTTAAGCTGATAGTAGCCATCTTTGATCTCCATTGATCCTCTATCACATCTATCCACTGCTCTTCCTGCATTTCTGTTATATCTTTATTGGTTTCTCAATAATGTTTTTAATTGTAGGTGTAAGCATTGTGATATCTGATGATTGCGAGGTTATTGATGGCAATGTGAGACTTTGTGAGACTGATACTCCCATCACATTCAAAGCTGAAACTGTTAGTGGAAATGCTATATGGTTCAATTGGAATATGGGAGACGCTACATGGCATGTATACACCAATGAATTTGATTACACTTACAGCAGGAATGGAAGGTGAGTGTTAGCCTGCTATTATTTTATTACGGTAGTTTCTTATGTCCTTATATGGACAAAATCACAGGTCTTTGTAACAGAAACCTTTATAGTGTTGACAAATCGTAAAGACTACAAGTGACATTGATGCATTTTATAAAATTGAAAACAAAAGAAAAACACAATTTTGAATTTAGGAAAATATTCAGAATGTACTAAATATGCAGAAGCATGTGTCTACTGACACAGTTTTTTTTTGTTGCTACTTTGAACTCTTAACCCATCCATGCATTCTGTGTGCCAATTCACTTAAATAGCTACAAGAAATTGTTTATTTTTTAGTTCTTTCTAGGACAGGGCCTATCTAGGTATGGCATCGTATTTTGTAGGGTTTTGTTTGGGAAGACTGTTCATTGAATAATTGTTAGCATATGAGACATCAAACCGGATTTACTTTGACAACTTACAAGTGAGACGATAGCTAAGTGTGGGCAGTAGACACAAAAAACGTAATTCAGAAAAACTGGTAAAAGTGAGATAAAATAATGATATTATATTATTGAAACTATGTACCTGCTTTCTCTTTTAGATACAATGTCACAGTGACAGCTGCCAATCACAATGATCATGCAGTGTCAGAACCAGTCATGTTACTGGTGCAGGCCCCTGTCAAGAAGCTGTCCATCAGGGTTGCTGGAACTACCATCCTTGGGACTAAATCCTACTTCAGGGCACTCATTCACAGTGGCAGTGACCTCAACTACTTTTGGGATTTTGGCGATGGCACAACAGAATCCTCCACCTCCAGCATAATCCATCATGCCTATAATCGGTAATGAGAACATTCATGTGATAGTGGCAGTGATGTTATGATTATAGTAATAGTGGTGGAGATGGTGGTGGTTTTGGTGTTGGCGATGATGTTTTCAGTGGTGGCAGTAGTAATAGTGATGAGTCAAAACCAAATTTCATGTTTTATTTAACTTGAAGTTGGTGGTGGCTATGGTGGTTACGGTAATGCTGTCAGTGGTGTTCATAGTTATGGTTTTGGTAGTGGTTATGATGTAATCTGTGGTAGTAGTAATGGTGATGGTATTGGCGGTGATGGTAATAATGTTTTCAATGATAGTAGGAAATTCTGATGTTGGTGGTGATGATGGTTGTGGTGAGTGTTTTATAATTTTAAAATAAGTATATTTTATTTTTTAAATTAAAATTGTTACATCAAAGCTAGTGTCATGATTATTATCATTTGTTTTACTTAATTATAGCACTGGAGAGTATTTTGTCTCAGTCGAAGCAAATAATTCTCTGAGTCGGGCCTTTTCGACTGAACGACTTTTTGTGTTGACTCAGATGTGTAAACCACCTGTCATCTCCTTCATTGGAGATAATCCAAAAATGGTGAGTATAAGAAATTAGGTGTGTAAACAAAATACAAAGATTCTATAACCACAGCCTTATCCTATTTTTTCAGTGAATACTTACCTGGATAATCTTCCCTCCCTTCCCTCCCATGATCAGTTAAATTTCTAGGGAATGAGGACTATTGTTAGGGAGACGGTTCGAACGTGGTTCAGCCTGGATCAGGCTGTTCTATTTTATTTGAAGTGTTGTTCCACTCTAAATCATAGACTACCAAACATCACAATTAATTTGTGTATTTTGGTGGTGCAAAATGCATAAAAAAGGCATGAAATTTATGTGTATAAAGATGATTGTTATCTGTGTTTTCATGAATGATTTCTTAATTTTGATGATTGCTATGTTTTGTTTTTTTTTTCTTGTCCAGGTGAACAGATCAGATACGATTGAAATTGAGACGGATGTTGCAATTAACTGTTCCATTACAAATCTTACCAAGTACCAATGGTTTATCAGGCATGCAAACAATTCAGATTTTGCTCATAATTGTGGTGAGCTGGACCAGCGTAACTTGTACCTGAGAAAACAATGTCTACCTCCTGAAATATTTACAATTACATTAGAAGTAAGTGGTGAAAGTCATTACAATATAATTAATTTATACAGATCATCCATTCTTTTTGCCACCTTAAGCAAAAGTCAAAAAATATTGAGTGTATTTATTTTTAATTATTTCCCCAATTTTTTCCAGAAGCTGATTATTTAGGATCCTCCGAACAGAACTAAAGCTGATCAGATTATCAAATTTTACTTGAAAAAATATGTGACATGCGTGAATATAGTCATGATGACATCACATCATGACCATATATAGGCACATCAGGACTAAATATGGGCATACAAGAGTTTTTTGTCCAAGAAAATTAGATAATCAGAACAGAGTTTTAGTCCTAACAAAGGAAGTTGGAATAAACATTTTAAATGATAAAAGTAAATAATATATTAAAAATTTAACATGATATAACACATATTCTAAAAATTTAAAAAAGTATAAATTTTGACAATTACCCAAAGATCAAATGCCATTACCATTTTTTGTTTTGTCCATGGGTAGTACTGCAATATATATGATTACATATTACATTGTGTAGAGAACATGTCTTACCATTACTATTTTGCAAATATGATTTTATCCTTATTAAAATATATATGTTATCTTTTACCTCAGGTACGTATGAATGGAACTATTGTTCATACTCAAGGAACATTAGAGCTTCATATTGTGAAGGCACCACTTGTTGCTATCCTAGAGGGCGGTACACAGCGTGTTGTTGGTAGTAATTCTCGGCTCAATTTAATGGGAAATTATTCTTATGACCCCAATGAGCCCTTCAGTATTAATGATGATGGATTAAAGTAAGTTGAGTAGTTATTTTTCTTTATGGCTTGGTAATCTTAGGTACATGCTAGTGAAGGCACATCATGGGTCCAAAAGAACTTTGAAATGGAGCATTGAAGCTCTGTTTTTGCATTTTGTTTTGTTTTTCGTTTCTTTTTTTATATGATAATATATACTTTAGTCAATTGTTCTTTTATACTATTACTTTACATATAATTTTATTTTAATTATTTTGATAATGTAAAAAATGTTTGTTAACACGTTGACTGCCAGACCTTTTTTTAAGGTTCCTTCCCGACTGCCAAAACAAGTTTACATCATCAAAATAATGTGTCTAATAAATTGGGAAAATATTAGGGGACAAGTAAACTCGTCGAATTTTTATTGACTGTGCCAAGTGTGAGATATCTTTTTGCTTGAGTTGGTATATGTTCAAAGGATGCCCCCACAACAAACATACATACGTCATTTGTACGTTATCGTTTAGGTGTATATTCCCCCATCTACCAGCTGTTGAGTCTATGGTTCTACAATGTATAACAACAAAGTTATGAACGCTAGAATGTTACCCCGATTTTGACGAGTATACTCGTCTCTGGCACCCTCAGCAACACCTGTGGGCGAGTATGCTCGTCGCTGGCAGCCAACGTGTTAAACTTGATAACCACCCATACAAAATATAATAAATATAATATTCATTTTTGGTTGAGCTTTGGCTGTTTTTAATGATCCTTATAGTTGGCTTAAATATTGTAGTTAATTTACCTATTTCAGTGCAATTTGATTTTCAAACTTGATTCATTGTACTATCTTTATTGTTGTCTAAGGTGTCTAAAGTGTTGAATATTATTTCAAAGACTCTTTTAAAGTTAAAAGTGGGTTTTTGGAGTTTTTTTTGCATGAAAATTATCAGGTTTTGTGTGAGGTCATAGTATTCCTGAAATATATTATATTTCTGTTCGGCTAAATTAAATATCTGAAGAATATGATTTTATTTACCCTATCAGATACAGCTGGGCTTGCCACCCACTATCGCAACTTCAGTTAAGCTGCTTTATGCAAACGACACCTTTGACTATAGCGACAAACAGCACTCTCTCCTTTAATGTGTCTTTGTTGAACTTTGCTGTTGCCCAGGAGTTTGTCTTTACCTTACGTTTATCAAAAGAAGGTCATTTAGATGCAACCACCAGTCAGGTTATTACAGTGGAAGAATCGGACACTTTACAGTAAGTCTTTTATCTGCATTGCTTCTCTCCACCCAGGAGTATAAATGGGTACCTGGTCGGGTTGCTTGCTCCTGCGCTGAATACAGCAGTAACACTTAGCATGTGGATCCAATGACCAGGGACAGAAGCGCTTTGTATCTGCAAAGAAAGGCGCTATATAAATAAATATGATTAGATTTGATTAGATTTAGGATAAAGTGTAAACCATACTGTGGTTGAGCTTGGCTTACCTTACAAATATAAAAAAAACTTGCGAGTAAGTTTAAAAGTGAGATAAGATATACATACTGTACATTAGTGGTTAATGATTGTTGATTAAATTTGTTGTCTATTTGTCCTATATTTTACACCTTCTTTATAAAAATTAATGGTATCTATATTCAATAAATAGTAAGTTTTTCTGTCATATATATTATTCATTATCTATCGTAAGCTATTTCATGTGTTTTTTTCCAGAGTAATGTTAGACTGCCCTCAATGTGTAAAGGGTGAGCTGAACTCTAATGACTGGCTGACCCTAGAGGTTCTGTGTCCTGGTTGTCGATTAGATCTGACGTATGTCTGGAAATTGTATATTGTTCTTGATGGTGCTTCTTCATCATCTGGCAGGGGTTTGTAATTGCATATACCTAATAGAGATTTCTTGACAGATTTTAATTTGCAAAATTTTTGTGGAATGTAATATTGTTTATTTTGTAGACAGTTAACTGGGTAAACAGACTATTATCATTCGACCATTAAATGAAAACCTGTGTCAATTTAAAGGCCATACGACCATGCCAAAGCCCATAAGCCATCAGCCAATAAATAAAAAGTTTAAATCAATAAATTGAGATAAAACTTCCATTAAGACAAGAAATATCAATCGTTTTTAGCTGAGAACTTGGTTTGGACAGGTACGTAAATGGGAGATGTTACCGCTTCGTTAATGTTGATAGTACAGTAGTTTTGCATGGGCCAGATTAAATTCTCTGGGTGGCCCATTTACCTTGCAGGTTGCTGAACAAAAGCCTGAGCTATAATACCTTTTAGTAATATGCAGTAGCTCAAGCTGCTAAAACAACTGCCATTTTCAATGTACATTATAATTTTATATTTACTATTTTTAAAGATTCAAATAGATGCGTTCGACATGATGGGATAGCATGGAATTTGTTGCCTGGTAACCAAACAACAACTGAAAACAACAATATTGACTTCCATTCCCGTATGTTTTCAATTTTTCAATTTAGCATTAGGGAAGACATTACTAGTATTTCCTTTTAAAATGCAAGTACATTTTGTAAGATAAACTTTTGCATGAATATGTTTATCCTGTATGTGGAATCAGGTAGCACAACAGTTCTGACAGGACTTGTGGTCAAGGACCAAGCCTTCACAATGCAGGTTTCTTGTATCCTAGGCAAGACATTTTATCTATGTTTTTCCCTCTCTGCCTAGAAGTATAATGGGTACTTGTGTATGCTGGGATGGTAAACAAACTTGCTGTGAGGAGTGGCAAAATGTCTCATACTATCTGTATCTACAGTAGTTGCATATAAATAATTGATGATTATCTTGAGCATTTCTAGTATCAGCTGTGTGTATGTTCTGCTTAATTTTATAATTTCTTGTGAATATTTTTCATTTGCAGATTCTTCACCACCAACACCGCCTATAAGCACTGATATTTCAAATTTCATTGGGGATGTCCCTACAAGTCCAGGTTTGAATGAGGGAAGAGTATTTGCAACTCAGCAACAGAAAACTACAACTCCAGACCCCCTTCTTGGAGTTACGGACCCTTCTCTTCTGAGTGCTACAGCAATAGAATCACCACTACCAACTTCCAAACCAATGGTTGATAATTCTCGCAGTGCATCACCAGAAAGTACTGCTGGGCAGTTTAGTCCGGAGTCTGAAGAATTTGAAGAGGATTCTTTTGGACTTGTTGAAGACGACCTCCCCCTGGGACCTGTAGATGTAAGTGTCAGAAGCTTAGCAGTACCATCAACTCCCGCTCCTATGAGAGAGGAACCATTACCGAGTATCGAAGAGGACAGTGGTCATTTTTTCGAAGAAGATACAGAAGACATAGGAGGAGGTAAGTTGATGGAAGTCTTCTGCTTGTTTGAAACGTTAATTACCTGTCATTTGGAGAGGATGTTGAAGGTTGCACTATTTGGAAAGTGTACCAGGTTGTCCCGTTGTGTACTGACCAATTTACTTTTGTCATATGAGGTTTGCCAAGGCCAGCATCAGTGGCTAAAAAATAAAAATTTACTTTGTAAAATACTCTTATTCTCCACATTATCAGCTTTAAAATAATGGGTCATTTACTGGAATCAACTTACCATTGCCAAAGTTATGAGTAAAAGTATTACAGCTTCTCTGTACTAAAGTATACAATACAACCACATTATGCTAATTACTCAGTTCAACATTTAGCAACAGTAAACTGGTTTTAGAATGACATGCCTCATATGCCTGATGTATGAACATGTCTGTGATGTTATTCAGACAGATTTTATTTTGCTGTATACATACAGTAAGACAATACACCATACATACAATACCTGATCACTGATGAAGTTACCCACTTTTGTAACTATGTTAATGTTATTTTTGGTTTTGTTTTTGCAAACTTTATATGGATGCACCTTTGTTCTTTCAAAGTATATGTCCACATAAATAAATAAATAAGACAGTGATATATTTGCCTTAATGTATATTATATAATAATGTGAAAATGTAGAATGTATTAACATTTATAATCACACTCATTGACAATTATAATTAATGACATTGATAAGGATTTTTTAAACGATAATTGTGTTTTCTTTTTATTTGACTTCCCAACAGCAAAAGGAATAGATGAAGATACAGGTGAAGGAGGTGGTACCCCTACAGACACTGGTAAAATTCATTTATTGATTTATTAATTTGTTATGTTGTTTATAAAATTGTTATATATACTTCATATCAAGTATATGTAATTCTTACTCATTGCTAAATTAACTTTTCCATTTCAGCTACTAAATATTCAGATTAATGGGGTAGAAAAAGGGTGGGTGGCCCAGGGGTGGATCCAGGGTTTTTATAAATGAGGGGGCACCAGTTTCTCAGAATAGTCAAAAGTAAGGGGTGGTAGTGTGGGAATGTGGCGATAGGAAGTGGGAGGTGAGTTGGGTGGGACCCTCCCGAAAAGAAATAGATGCCTGAAAATACATGTTTAGTTTATCCTGTGTTTCAAAATACTGTATTTGTATTTCTTTCTATGAAATGAAAATTAAAGAAATTTGATATGAAATGAAATCATGTATATCATTGTAACCTGAGTTTAATATATAACACAGCACTATTTCTTCTGGGATTGTTGTTTTTGTTCATCAAGTTTCAAGTATATAATATGTAAAAAAATAAATATTTTTCTTGAGTGTTACACGGTCAGTTTTATTGTTTAATGGCATTTTCATGAACAGATTCCAACTCTGGTGAATCTGATCGTGATGATGCAAGGGAGTTTGACAGTGTGGATTTCCTTGCTGACAGCATTCTCCAAAAAGACAAAAACCCTCTGAATATTTATGAGTCTAATCTAGCGACTACAAAAAATGGTCCATCACTCGTTTTCAAGAGTGACAACTTTGAAGAAGGCAGGACGTATGCAGTTACCGTTGAAGCCACCAATGAAGGTTTGATTTTATATTATTTATTACGTTAAAAATGTCTGATTTGATATAAATTGTACCCATGTTTTAATGATAATTTGTGGGGATAAATATGTCATAATTAGTCTTTGACCTAATGACATTCCTTCTTAAGTTTGCATCCTCAATAATCTTAGGAATCTCATTTATTGTTATTAATGTAATTAATATCTTATTGATGATCATTATTATTAAACTATTATCAGTTATGATATGATGTTTATAATTACTGATATTATTTTATTGCTTTAGATAATCATGTTGGACAAGCCAGCTACTACTTTAAAATCAATCAAAATCCAAGCCTTGGAAGGTGTTCCGTATTTCCACTAGAAGGAATAGAATTGTCCACTATCTTCAATGCGGAATGTCTTGAATGGCAAGACACTGTAAGTTCAACTTATTATTAATTATGAGAGGGGAAGTATACAAATTGTTTGATTCATTCATCACATGCCAAATACTTTTGGGGTCAAGAAAGGAGTGTTCACATTCACATCACGTCACTGTTCCTACCAATCCTTTCACCACTATACAGGAAAATCTTATCATTGTGTTTTAGAACTAAACCAGCAAAGCTCAACAGAGTATAAACTTGTGTATGGACTCGATGAGAAGATTTGAGGCATGCCATCCAAAACCAGCATACTCTCATTAAATATTAAACTTAGCTTAACAATGTGACAGTATTGTATATTTTAGTTCAGAAAAGCTGTAATAGTTTTACTCATAAATTTTAGTATTCTAATTCCACATTTGAATTGCTTAATTTGTATATTTAAGTAATTTATTAACTTAAAATTGATAGTTTGAATTAAAAAAAAAAATTCCCCACATTAACTTTTGGACAGTTAAATAATAACACTCCTGTATTCTTTTGCATAGATCCTTACATTTTGTTGGTAAAGAATTTAAGGAATTTTGTAGTACAATGTTTGTAACTTGGTGAAAACTGCTTTTTTTTTCAATCTGCGTCTTGTCAGAAACTAATAATTTATATGATCCTTTTAAAAATGAACTATTCAAAATTTTATTTTAATTTTTTGAGTTGTTTTTCTGTCTTTTTGACTGATAGTACATCTTTAATATGCAGTAGGTTTTAAGTATGTTTTGATCTGTGTGTCTTTGGAGGTTGATAACCATATTATCCTTTTAAATGTGCAACTTAGTTTTTGACGTACATGTTTCAGGTTTTCTCAATTTTATACCACAACTTTTTTTTCCAACAATATAGAATATGCCTCTGCATTATGAGATTAGTTATGGGTTTAATGTCACAGAAAACATGACTATTTTATACTATGGATTGAACCCAGAAACAAAGTTTTATCTTCCGTCTGGGCCTACAAGCATGGATTATGAAGGTACAAGTTTTTTCATTGGTCTATATAAGTATTTTAAAGATACAAGTTTTTTTAATCATACACATTAATTTATTTATTTTGCCATTGTTTATTTTCTGAATGCCTCTCGGATAATTAATAATAATACGTTAGACGTATATAGCGCTTAATGCACTTCACATTATTACCCTTGGTCATTTGTTTGAGGACGTATGTAACATATACTCAGCTCCCTGGGTGGAATTCCATATTAAATGTTGCAGCTGTAATCAGCACATTTTGTGTTTGAACCTACCAGTTATACCCACTTGTACTTGTTGAGAGAGGCAACCGTAGGTAAAGTGCCTTGCCTAACGACACAAGCGAAATGCAAAGTGAGAGATTGAACCCCTGACCTCAGAGTTAAGCAGCAGAACTGCAACCACTGTGCCAAACCGCTCCCATGAATAGTCCACTTGCAGTTTCAACTCTCTCCATGAGGGGATGCCACATATGCAACAATTTATAAATTTATTAAATTATTCAAAACATTTGTATGTTTAATAATGTTTCAATTTTTCTATAGTGTTTGTCCATATTGCAATTGTTGACAGTAGAGGAGGGAGGACCAAAGTATGTTCCATACCAATAATTGTGAAGCCTGAAGGCCACTCACTCAACATGACTACAGCTGAATTGTAAGTTAATTTCTTCACATAATTCATGTATGTGTTTAATGTTTTCATTTGCTGTGTCTTGTTTTTATGTTTTCTGTGTTTTGTCTTGAGCTCAAATTAACAACGATCAGCTGGTCAATAATTTTAATGTTTGTTTGTTTTTTTATCTTTTTTATTTCAAGTACACAGTATAAATATATTTTATATTCAGGAAATTAATTTATCATTTTTTCTTCACAGTACTATTTTTCTTCTTTTTTTTTTATAATGTTCCTATTTTTTGGTTGAAGAATTTATTCACAGGTTTACCAACTTAGTCATAACTAAAGAAAAGTGGAAACAGAGAAAAATAATGACAAAGGAAGACAAAAAAAACAAAAACAATACAATCATAAAATACATAATGATTACAATAAAAAGGGAAACAATTGGAAAAAACTAAAATTAAACAAAGGAAAACAATGAATTATATTGAAATACAGAAAAAACATTCAGTCATAACTAAAGAAAAGTGGAAACAGAGAAAAATAATGACAAAGGAAGACAAAAAAAAAACAACACAAACATAAAGTACATAATGATTACCATAATAAGGGAAACAATTGGAAAAAACTAAAATTAAACAAAGGAAAACAATGAATTATATTGAAGTACAGAAAAAATATTCAGTCATAACTAAAGGAAAGTGGAAACAGAGAAAAATAATGACAAAGGATGACAAAAAAAAAAACAACACAAACATGAAATACATAATGATTACCATACAAAGGGAAACAATTGGAAAAAAACTAAAATGAAACAAAGGAAAACAATGAATTATATTGAAATACAGAAAAAATATAAAAACAGAGGGGAAAAACTGCACAACACGAAACGATATAGAAACAAAGAAAGTGATATAAAGATAACGTGAAACACATGTAAGCAATATGGAAATTCTGGGAAACAGTATGGCGACACATAGAAACTATATGGAAACATTGAGAAACTAAATACTAACATATGAAAATATTGTATTGGTGTTGTTATGCTAAGCTGAACTGATCTCATTTTGTTTATGTGTGTATTTTGATTGGGTGTGTGATGAATAAAATATATCTTAGAAATATTATATTAGGATAGAATTAATTACTTAGGAAAATGAATCAGAATTTTAGATCTTATAAACATATTTCAGCTATACCAAGATATACAGAACTAAGACAAGTAGGGGATAGATATGTAGCTATTAAAACAAGGTTTAGAATATAGATAGAAGAGGAATAGATAGCTACTGAATTAGCAATGTATAGAATATAGATAAGAGCAAGTTAAAGTGTTTAGAATGTATGATTTGTGGAATTGAATGAAGAAGGGAATGAGATCTTTTACTTAGCATTAACAGCTTCCAGTGCAATTAAAATTCATCAAATTGAAAATACAATTATACACAGAACTCAAAGAAACATACAAATGCAACAACCAATTTCTTTTAAAAAAATGGACTCAGTGAAAACAAATATATTACTTGATGTACAATTGATGTCAAATTACAAGAAAGAAATGCTAGCCTTTGTAGGTCAGTCAAAAAAAAAAATGATGATGGCGGTTATATAATTATTTTCATCAAACTCCTGGAAAAAGTGTTACTTTTTCACAACACAAAAAAATGTAAAGAAACATGATGTGAAATCTGACAGTTTATACACATACATCGTAATTTGTTTATCTACATGAAATCTATTTGTTATTTACACCAGTTATACTTTTGTTGGTAAGATTACATCATGGATGGTGGATGAATCTCTGATGCATTTAATTGATAATAATATTCTGATTTTGGTTCCTAATGTTTTTGTAATTGTATTTGTCTCTTTATTATTCAGCATATTTGTGAATTTGTTTTATTTTATAGTGATAGTTATCTCTTTCATCAACGATTGCATAGGGGCTTCCACATATATGGCCCAAAAAAATCATGATTCCTGATGTTCGCAAAGAAATTACATAGATTATATTTATTTATATGTGTATTATGCAAATCATCTTCATTGTGTACCATATATTATATTGATTATTGTAATATTTGTATATATGATTTACACTATATTATTATAAGTACTGGTGAATAACGTGTGGCTTTGGTAGAATCTTTTTTCTTTATATTATATTAATTCTCTATTTTAAAATATGTAAACAATATCAATTTTTATTTTTTTAAAGTATTCAAATATATAACTAATAATTTTAAACCAAAATTTATATAATATAAAATTTAATAATCCACTTGCATATTTATATAGAAATATTTTTATTTTTCTACTAAAGCAATTTGCAAAAAAAAAAAATTAATATTAATATAGTAATTTCTTTAGGTTAAATACTACATATAGAAAATATTAGAACTAATGGTTTCATATAACTTAAATTTCAATGAAAATATAAAAATGAAAACATTGCACTAATACATAATAAAAACAAGGCACTTAACAAACTCAACAAGTTCCTGTTCACCTTGTGTTTATCACTGAATATAATTCTACAGAGATACTAAATATCAGTTCATACTATAAACATTTCTGTGATTTGCCCAAATATGGCAAGATTAGAGGCATATTACACACAGTTATCTGGGAATCACAGTTATTTGCTACATAAATTTGATGAGTCTGAACTGATCTTGAGGATTAAACCAATAAACAAAAATGTTTGTAAAAATTTATCTTGCAAAATATTTTCTTAATTAACAAGAAAAATATTCTTAGAACATTTAATAGCACTAGGATATCCTTCGAAAGTATAATATTAATTTTTAGTTAATGATCATATTCATTAGAGATTGATAATTTATTTTCTTGTTTAAACAAAAATAAACAAAAATATTTGTGACAATTTATCTTGCAAAATAATTTCTTAACAAGAAAAATATTCTTTAGAACTTATAATCGCACTAAGATATCCTTTCACAACATAATATTAATTTTTAATTAATGATTATACAGTATTTATTAGAGATTAATAATTTATTAAACTTGTTTCTTTTTTGCTTTAGTAACAAACATTGGATAAACTAGTACATTCTGACCCCTGTTGTTTTTTTTTTTTTTTATTTTGTTTATTATTGATGGTGGACAAACTATGAATAGTTGATTGTGGGTCCATGATGTTTATAAGAACATTTGGATTGAGAGCTGTCTTAACATTTTGGGAACACCTATATCAGTAGGTGGATCTGGTGGTTTGTTGGTGTAGCGGGGAAACAGTTCCTGCGCTTTACTTTCCAAAAGATAACATAACCTGTGGTCATTTCTAGGGGTCCCAACTATCCTGAATTCGCAGGAGTATCCCAAAAATCGGGACAGACTCCTCCCACACTCCTGCAAGCAGGAATCTCCTGCAAATTCATAATATTTGAATGTTTTTACTACTTTATCATCAATTGTCTCACAGAAGTCAGTGAGGTTTGGTTATTAAAAAATAAAATTAAATCTAACCAGATCTCCTGGAAGGAATTTCTTCCAAACTTGGGACACCTGCAGTTCTCAAACCAAATGTTCACAGAATGAAACTTGAAATATTGTTTATTGCAACATTATTCATGAATCATTTGTATATTTTTTAATTGATATATTTGTATTTAATTAATGTGTTTATAGTTTAATGAAGATGAACCATATAAGTATTGATTTTTAATTTTGTGCAACATGTAATTTTCATCATTTTTAAAATTCTATTTTATATTTCCTTATTTGGTTTTGTGAAAAACCTATAAGGTATATTTTGATACATTATGTATACAGACATAGATGTGACATGCTCTTCTTAAAATGTTGATCAATGATACAATAAATATACTTCTGAAGGTGTTCCATATGTGTAACAATTATAGCGAGGTAAATAGTGAGTTTCAAAGGTGGTAAACTTCAACAACACAGACTTATTTGGTACTTTTGAAAGCCAGCAAATATCTTCTGCAAACTTACTCATATTCAGTTATTCAATTCAGAATATTTGCATGTTTTACAACTTTTACTACTGCTATTATTTTTTCTCCCTGAATTCATCTTAGTACGGCAGCTTAGGGCCATATTTGGACTTAATGTGGACGTTCCGGACAAAAGCACCAAATTTTTTTTACATGCTCCTTATGGTCATAGCATTCAATTTTTGGTAGGAACCACCTCATCCGAGGTCATTATGGCGGCCATCTTGGATTTCAAAATGGCCGCCTAATAAAACCTATGTTTATCTATATCTCCGCTTCTAAACCACTTGGA